GAAATCTCTTTCTGCATAAATTGGCCAGACTGGGGTCTGTGGGCTACACCTGGATCCTCATAATACTGGAGGTGAGGATTCCACTGTTGCCAGGCAAAGGACACCCTTGTACTGTATATTACTCTGTATGTCACTGGGGCACAGCATGGATACTCTGGAGATGTGCAGCATTTGGAAGTGGAAAGTCCTGGTCTCTGCTAAGCCAATTTCCACTGCAGAGTTTCAGGTTCCCCACTTGGAGAGTGAAGATGATGATGGTGATGATATATGGCACCTACTGAAGCAGGACTTGAAAAACAAGTTCTTCCTGGCCTTGGACAGTCCTCCCTCCTCAGGTCACCCCCCTTCTCCCTTGTAGCTGCAACTCCTTGTTCTGGTACAGATAAAATCGACAAGTGTGTCCTGTAAACAAAGTTTATAACACCCTGTTCTCACAAGAATTTACAAGACTCTGTCTTCTTTCAAGGATAAGTTAAAAGGCTGTTACTGCATGATACGTGACTACAATTAGTTTTTTTGTCACGCTTCTGTAACCTCGCTTGCCCACTTCCCCCAGGTTCATGTCCCTGGAAAGACCACCCCCCCTTCAACCAAATGTATAAATCTGGAATCTTTTCTTTGTCTCCTGGAATTTTGCAACACTACCTCATGTAACTGTGAAGATTAAATGAACAACAGATGAGCCATATTGCCGCAGTGCCCAGGACCTAGAAGGTAATGCTCCATGAAGCCTGTTTTGTTTACTCGGCTCAGGCTGCTGCCCTCTCACTTGGACTTGCTCTGTGTGCAGGCACAGTGAAGTCAATTCATTTGCCCAAAAGCACGCTGCCAAGAGAGAGGAAGGTCAAACACAAACCTGTATAGTCTGGTTCTATAGTCCATGATCGTAATCCCTCTACTATACCTCTTTTTAAACTGAGCACTGAAGGTAATTATAGGTTAGTGAGGAGAGATGTGCTTTGGGGTGGGGGCAATGAAAACAGTCAGAGGTGACCATAGGTAAGAGTATTCTGGAACACAAAGAACGGCACCTACCAAAGTTCTGAGGCATAAAATACATTGAGGACATTTAGTAAAATGAGAGACATCTAAAGTGGTGAGAACTTTCTCCCCTTGTTCATATCTTGGCACACTTAGAAGATGGTACTGTTCAGGTAGGCCACAAGAAGAGTAAATGAGTGTAGGGAAATGGGACGGCACTGGGGTCTGTGTCAACAGAGCGCCAACACAAGCGCATCTTCTGACACCCCAGTGTAAATGACTTCCATAGCCAAGGTCAATGCTGGCCAGTATAAATAAGTTATATAACCAAGGTCATTACTGGCACATGGCCACTTCTGTGTATTTTGGTATAAATGCAGACTGAGCAGCTGAGGGCTGCTGCGAGTGTGGGCAGGCTAGGGGCCTGAAGACTGCTCTGTGAGTGCTTATAGCTGAGTTGAGGCTCTGAGAATAAAGTCAAGTTTAGACCTTTCCACAAGTCTGTGTCTCTTCTTTGGGCTTCCCAAATCTCAAGTGAGCCTCCTCAGTCTGAACTGGCTGCAAGACAATGGATGAGGTGTTTGTACCTAGAGGAACCTGGCCCAGAGTCTGTGTGTCTCAATCTTGGGCATATCTATAATCCATTCATAGAAAACCTTGAGGACGTGGGTTAACATGGCATGGGGACTGGAGAGTGAGACATACTTAGGATAAGCCCAACCTCATAGGCCATGAGATGGATTTGAATGCCAATTTGAGCACACTAGGAAACCACTGATAGATTTTAACCATGGGACACTACAAGGTTCAATTTGCTTTGTGCGCTCTGCAGAACAATGCTGTGAAAAGAATGGACAGGAGTCCACTAAGACCAGTTAAGAGGTTGTTGCAGTGGTCCTGGAAAAGGACATGATGATCACATAGACTAAGTTTTGTTGGTGGAGGTGGAAACAAATGAATAAACTTGAGTTAGCTCTTAGGGCTGGGAATCTCTAGGGCCTGGAGATGGATGACATGTAAAAGATGAAGGAGAAAGGATATTGATGCTGCTTCTCTCTATGTTATCCCAGGAAATTAAGTTTGATTTTCTACAGGTTCCTCAAAAAGGCAAACAGAGAGTTATGTTAAACCAAATGATCCAGCACTTCCAAAAGAATTGAAACTAGGGACTCAAATAAATATTTGTATACCATTGTTCATACCAGTATTATTCACAATAGCCAAAAGGCAGAACCAACTCAACTGCCCGTCAACAGACAACTGGATAGATAAAATGGGGTGTGTCCACACAATGGAATATTAGTTATTTTAAAAAGGAATGAAGTCCTGGTATATGCTACAACATGTACAAACCTTGAAAACATCACGTTAAGTGAAATAAGCCAGACACACACACGCGCACACACACACAGTATGATTCTACATAAATGAAGTACCTAAAATAGGCAAAGTCATGGAAACATGCAGTACACTAAAGGTTACGGGGAGTGGGGAGGTGGAGGGAAATGGGGAGTCACTGTTTAAATAGGTTCAGAATTTCTGTTTGGGATGATGAAAACATTCTACAAATAGTGGTGATTGTGGCATAGCATCATGACTGTACTTAATTGTGCACTTAAAATGATTTAAATGGTAATTTTTTTTTTTTTTTTGGTACTGGGGATCGAACTCAGGTCCTTGGGCTTGCACAACAGGCAGCGAAACCACTGAGTTAAATCCCTGGCCCAAAATGGTAAATTTTTATAACAAAACATTTATTGGTACATTTTAGACATAAAATGGTAAGTTTTATGTTACACATATTTCATTACCATAAAAAATTGATTATTCACGCAGAGCGCTAAGCATACACGTAGTCCTTGCAGTTTGGGCTTCATGAATGTTCTCATCACCCTCCTGTGCCTGACCCACCCTTTTCTATTTCAGAAGCAATTTCCTCTCTAAGGCTGAGAACCTGAAATTATGTGCCCCGGAACACTTTCTTGACCTGAGTCCTTCCCCGTTAACTCTGCCTTTCTTATGGACACTGTCTGTTATCATATGACCCCGAAATCACAGCTCAGGTCACGGGATGAGGCCCCTTTTCACTGTACCAGTGAAGACAGCAGCTGGCATTTGTCTCTCCCTCCTATCCTTCCTGTCTTTCTAAGGCTACCTCATTAGGCTGTAGGGCTGAGATCATATCAGAGTTAAATTATTATAGGGAGAAGAAATGCAAAGGATCAGAATAACAAGCTTTCCTAGAGTCTCCAGTGGGAGGAACACCAAACCAAAGCCCTTCTCAGGCTCAGGCCCCACCTCAGCCTGACCTTACTGAACACCTCGCTGACTCAGACTTCAACTCCCACACCAGCTACCCTAAGGGCTTCCTCTTAAGTCTCTGACTTGCCACCCACTGAGAGCTGAGCTTTCCATCACAAGAGTCATTTTTTCTGGATTTTCGCAGGGTGAGTGAAATCTCTTATTCTACAAGTCTCACTGAATAGCTGGATCCCTTGGACAGAGAGGCCCTGGATCCTCTAGGTCTAATTTTCTTTACTATAAGCTCCATCGAGATCTATAGAGTGGGTGGTTCCTTCCATGAGCCAGCCCATTAGATTAAGCACAGGCTCCTCTCTCAACCAGAGACATTATGCTGGAGGTTCAATACAATTTAAATATATAGAGAAAAAGAAAAATTTCCTCAAGCAACAGGGCATCTCATCCCTACAGAGTCTGGAATTCTGTGCAGCCTTGCAGTTTATTTCCTGCCACCCTGCAAAGTCTCCTTGAATACTAAGAGTCAGTCATTATAGCAGCAGTCATTATCATTCTCCAGGAAAAGCTCCTGCTTCCATCACAGTTCCCATTTATTCATAAGTACTCCCTGAGATGGGATACAATTGTCATTTTTTTCCTGACATTATTATTATTGTTATAACAAATCATAGGGGGAAAATGATAGGGAAAGGAAAGTTTAATTCAGTAAGAGGCATTATAACAATTTGGCAATTATTTGGAGAAAAAACCCCACCTAGATCCTTGCTTTATACCTAACATTCTAACACTAAAATTGATTCCAAATGGATTAAAGATTGGGTCAAAAGAGAGGAATCATATGAACTAAAAGAAAAAATTTGGGCTGGAGATGCAGCTTGATGGTAGACAACTTGCCTGGCATGTGTAAGGCCCTGGGTTCTATCCAGCAAAAAAGGAAGGGAGGGAAGGAGGGAGGGAGGGAGGGAGGCAGGAAGGAAGGAAGGAAGGAAGGAAGGAAGGAAGGAAGGGAAGGAGGAAGGGGAGTCCTAAAAGGTATGATACCACCAGCAGATGATAGCCTCTACTTACTTCTCATTAAAATATTCACAAAGACACAGACACAGAACAAAACAAAAAAGTGGGAGGGGGATGTCGCTCAGCAGTGCAGTGCCTACCTGGCAAGCTTGAGGCCCTGAGTTCGATTCATGGTACCAAAAAAAAAGAAAAAGACAAAAATGGCTGCTACCAAAAGATGAAGGTTGAGATTAAGTGCCGAAATATAGAAGAAATTGAGCTCAGTTTCATGGCAGGTGCCCAGGACAAGCATGGACAGGTCCCTCTTGCCTTTAGCTCCTGACAGAGATCCACTGATAAAAGGGGATAAAGAAGGTTTGGCTCTCCCACCACCTGTTTCTCAACCAGAGACTCACAGGCTCAGAAAATGGGGCAAATGGCTCAGTCGGGCAGTGGAGAACTTTAGAAACATACCAACCTCCGAACGCCACCCCAGACAATGGAATCAGGAGGGTCAGGGGAGGCACTCAAGCAGTGGAGTTTTTAACTGCGTAGCCAGATGGATAAGACCAGTTTTCTACACATATTGCTTAGATGCGATTCCATATGGCAGGTGGGGAAATTGGGAGGTTCTATCCTCCTCCATCTAGGCCACTTTTCTTCTTTAATGATTTCTTTCCTTCTTTAAAGTCTGGAGCGCTGCTTAGTGTTTCTCCCATCCTTTTGTCTGTACTTTTTCATTTTCAACACTATTTTATTAGTTCTATCTACTCCTTAAATATCTTTTCTAGAGCTTGGTCTCTTAAATTATTCTCTTCAACTGAAAATTTCATCCAATGCCAAGATTTCAGCTGACACCTTGAGGTGAAGACTTCCATTCCTATGAGGTATGGTGGGCATTTTCCCTCCATACTCTCAGCATGCATACCCACTCTGTTGAGATGCTCTACCCAATTCAATCCAGGATTATAGGAAGAAGCTATAATGCAGTAAGGAAAAAGAGAATAACTTTCTTTAAGGCACATAACAACACAGGGGGTATATTTGAAAGTCTTGTAGAAGATCCACCCAGCTTGAACCATTCATTCCCTCCTCTGGTAGTTGTAACATCACAATGGACCAAGGACCAGAAAAAGATCTGGGACAAGAGTGGAGAAAAAAGAAAATAAAAGAGCAAAACAGAAGACTTTATGCCCACTGAACATGAACTTGAATAGGCTAATGGGGAGACTGAAAAGGAAAAGAAATGAAGAACTATTTAGAGCCATCTCTTGATTAAAAACATCCCTGACTAATGATAAGATTTTTCCAGTAATAGACTGTGTCATTTTCATGATTAATGTCATCTGTATTTTCAGCTCAGATCTTTCTACCAAGCATCTAACTCCCTCCTGATGACCCATGGCATAGGCATCACAAATGTGAAATTCCAATTTGCTCCTCTTTTGTGCCTCTGTAAATGGAACTATCATCCCTCTACCTGGCATGGGTTAAATTTTATCCCTCCAAGATTCACATGTTGAAATCTTAAGCTAGAAACCTTGCAGTGTGATCTTATTTGGAAATAGGTTCCTTGCAGATTTAGTTAGTTAAGTGGAGATAAGGTCATTAGGTTGAGCCCTCATCCAGTGGTTGTTATTCATATAAAAAGGGAAAAACTGGACATAGAGGCAGGGGGAGCATCATGTGATGATAAAGGCGGAGATCAGTGATTCTTTTGTAAGACAAGAAACAGACTGCCGGCACACCATCAGAAGTTAGGAAAGAGGCACAAAAGAGATTGACCCTCTCAGCTCCTAGAAGAAACCAATCCTGTGCATACCTTGATCTTGAACTTCTAGACTTCAGAACTGTGAGGGAAAGATTGTTGCTTAAGCCACCCAGTTCATGAAACTCTATTATGCTACCCAACAAAGATTTACCCTCCACTGTCTCCTCATCCATTGCCTGTATAAGACAGGAGTACTGGGTAATCAGAAATCTGTGTCACATTAGGAGAAGACAGAAAAAGGTTTGACGAGTGAACAAGAATAGGTCAAGGCTGTTGTAAGATGCTAAATGGGTCTGGCATTTGAAGAGGCTGTAGAGAAAGTGGAGGAGCAAGCAGGGTGTGAAACTGCACCTAGCTGTGGGTAAAATAAACTTACTGCTCAGTTGGAAAATGCCAAGAACACAGAGGCTGCATCAAATGTCAGAAGAGGTGGGGCTGGCTGAAGGCCAGGGCTCCCCTGGGCTCCTTCCCCACAGCAGACTTGGGGCTGGACTTTTGCCTAGGGGGTGTGTTAGGGTGAGTGGAGATCTTTGCTGCTGAATTCCTCCAGTGCACGGCCAGGCCACAGCATGTACATCCCGAGCACAACTCTGCCAGGCTGCTGAAGGTGTCCCTCTGACAGCTGCAAGACAAACCAGCAAGTTTTGATGAGCCACCATGCTCCAGTCCACGATGTGTGAGTTGAGTGGGAAGCAGGTAGTCCTCAGTCCCTGCTCCAACTCTGCCAGAAAATGGGGGACTGCGCCACGGCTCCTGGAATTGGACTCAAAACTTGAGAAAGAAGAAATGAAGGACTTGAAATGAGACACCTCCTTGGACTCCCACCAGGACCCCAGAAGCTGGGCTTGTCTTTCCCTTTATCCCCTCCACTCTTCCCCTCTCCTCACCACCTCCTGCTCCCCAAGCACCTATTCCTGCCTGTCCTACTCTCTCACCTCTTCCCAGATCCACCAATCCTCCCTTATCACCGTCACCTCCTTCCTTCTTTCTTTCTCCTCAGATACTCCTTTCTTTCCCTCTCCCCAAATCCTCCTAATTCTGAGTCTTCCCTCATTTCCTCCTCTTTTCCTCCCCTCAATTTCTCCCCTTCTCTGCCTTTTCCTCCCTTGTGTTTCTCCTCCCTGTGATCGTTCCTCTCCTCTTCCTGCTCCCCTTTCTACCCTCCTTTAGCCCTACCAGCTCCCCTCCCACACTGTTTCCCCACCCTCTCTTTCCTCCTCCTCTTCCCCTTGCCTCTCCCCCTAGTGTTTGCTTTTCTCCTGGACCCGGATGAAAAGGTTGGCCTGCCCGTGCCCTGCCCTGCCCCATTTCTGGCAGCTGGGGTCTCACTTCATGGCTGAGGGCGCTGGGACTCAGGCCCCAGGGCAAGGGCCCCATGTCAGCATCCAGTACCTGCGAGCCCAGTACGAAGGCCTGAGGAGGCAGCAGAGGACACAGGCCCACCTCATGGTGCTCCCAAAAGGTAGGGCTGAACAGGTGCCGGGAGGAGGGCCTGTCTGTCGAATGGGTGGCTAAGCTCCGGGGAGGAAGGGCCACTGCTCTCCAGCCTCCCAGTGGAGCAAAGCAGAGTTGCTGTTGTCTGGGTTAGAACTAGAGCAGGGGAGGCTAGATCAGGGAAGCTCTGTCCAGCCACAGCCAAGTGAGCCGGGAGCCTCAGCTAGGCTTCTGGCCAGCAGTGCTGTTCCTGGCCTCCGCTCCTATGTTCCTGGTTCTGATCTTGCTGAACTGGTTAGCCTGGTGAGTAGGGCTTGGCCCCTCTTCTAGGTCAGGTAGGATGGTGGGGACTCTCCCTCCTGGGTGGATCTAACAGAGGCACCTCCTGCAAACCAGAGAAACTGACTCTGGAGAAAGAAGGCTGGTAACCCTAACATCCTGGGAACTGGCCGGGCCAGAGGAAGTGCAGGAATCAGGGACCCATGGGGCACCCCAGCTCATTGGATTCAGACAGCAGCCGGGGAGTTATGATCAGAGGTAAAAGTTCTCTCCTCATGGGAACTCAGATTTAATTCCAGGAGGAAAGTCAGACCTTGAGGCTCAGAAGTAAATGGTTGTCAGCTGCTAGAGGGAAAATCCTCTAAGGTCAAAACCATGCCCTGAGATTTTCTATGGTTATTTCTACAATGCAGTGGACAAAAGGAATGGTCTGCCTTTCGCCAGGCTAGTCTGGGACGGACTCAGGAGCCAGAGAGAACTCATTGTCTATGACGTGAAGTGCTTTTCAAAAGGAGGGCTTCCAAAGGCCACCAAAAGGAAGTCTTTTGTCTCCAAAAGGGGCACCTCTGAACTAAAGTAGCCCATCTCTCATTACTTGGGCTGTTGCTTATCCGTGGGATCCATCTGAACTGACTTGGAACAACCAATTAGCTCCCATCTCTGTAGGGCATAAGCTGAAAAGTTCCTAAAGCCCTATCACACTCTCAAGGGGATTCATTCAGTCAGTCATTGAGCAAATGTTTATAAAATTAAATCCCTATCAAATCAATCCATCATGTTTAACACATCTGCAAATCAGACTCATACATTCACTTGCTTAATGGGCACGATCCTAAAACATCTCAAACTTAATGTACCCTGTAGAATTCACCATTCTCTGGCCCTGACTCCCCCAGCTGGCCTTTTCCTCTGCCCTTGGTACTTGAGTGTTCTCCCTTCCACTGTTACCATGTGATACATTATGGCAAGTTAACACAAGGAGTGCTTGGGTAAACCTTTCTCAGGGAAGAACTTTGGCCCCCAAGCTAGGTCTGGGTCTTTTAGAATAGATACTCTTAGTAGTTTGCAATTCTGCTTTCTTTGTGTAATTGTGACAGGTAGCACCCTATAAAGTGGAGTGGTTGTGTACACATTTTGGAGCCCGAGTTTGCCATCCCCAGTTCGCTACTGACAAAAGCAAAACAGATTTAAAGAAGAAACATAGCATGGAATCTCCCCGTGTCTCTTAGTTACTTTCTCATTGAGAAGCCACAATACCCAACACCCACAACTCTAAGAAGAAAAGGTTTATTTTGGCTTACAGTTTGTAGAGATTTCAGTCCATAGTTATCTGGCTCCAAGGCAGGGCAGCGTGGCAGAGGGGCATCACAGAGGAGAGATTTGCTCACGGCATGGCAGGCAGGAAGCAGAGAAAGAGATTAAGGGAGACAGGAGGGAGACAGATGCTTCCAGGCCGTGCCACCAGGGACCCAACCAGGCTTCCCCTCCCAACATCATAGTCAGATAAACTCATCAGTGGACTAATCCACTAATGAGTATCACATCCCCATGACCCAGTCACCTCTCAGAAGCCCCATTATGAGCTCATGAGGCTGAGGTGGGGGCACCTGGAGACAGAGATATAAACCATAGCAGTGGATTTTTCCATGACCTTAATTCTCTTGCGTGCACAGTGGAGGGCAGACAGTTTCCCAAAGGTATGGAGGGAACTGTAACAGCAGGTTCCCAGAGTGCCTCCCAGTTTATTCGTTCTCCTCACTCTCCGTTGTCCACAGGCTTGGAGTGACAGTCAAGCAGGCTCTGCCTGTCTGCCCTGAGACCTCAACTGCTAGACTCATGATGGACCAGGATACCAGTTCCTAGGTTCTCCTATCACATCCCCTTCCTTCTTTGTTCTCATATAAGTGTGTAGCATTTTGACTTGCTGTAAAGGTTTCATGCTTGTCACACTAAGAGTAGTTTGAGTTACAAAGCAGGAACAAGTCTTCAGTCTTTCCACTAGACTTCTGTTTACTGGGCTGCAGCTGTTTGCAAGGATGGCTGCATCTGCTTTTCTGTTTCTCTTGTGCTTGGCAACCTGAGATGCAAGGGATTCCTTCTGACTTTATTCTGCCAGTACTATCTCCTTCTCCTTGCTATGCACTTTGTCTCTTACTCAGCTTCCTATAGTAACAGGTGCTGAGACACTTACGCAAACCTCACTGACATCTCAGAGAGACCCCAGGCTGGGCATCACCCTGCCTTTAGTCATTCCTGCAACTCACTGCCACCAAGAGCTCAGAAGGAGCTACTGTATTCCACAGTGACCTTTTAGAAAATATTCCTGAGAACAAAGAAGGACATTGGTCTGCATCCACAGCTTTGAAGCCAGTTCAGAAAAGTAGCAGATACTACAAATATCTTCCCAGGACAGTGTCTCTTGCCTAGGAGGAAAATCAAGGAAAATTCTCTACATGGAGCTTCTTCAAAACACAGCTCCTCCATGCTCTGTCTTGGGTGGTAAACTCATTGTCAGAAGCTCAGGACACAAAACTCCTTAAGTGAAAAGTAATCTTTACCCCTGGTGAGTATACAGAATATGTACCTGTGTGATTGTTAGTTAGCTTTCTGTCACTGTGACAAGATACTTAAGAAAGTTAACTTAAAAGGAGGAAAGATTTACTTGGGCTCATAGTTTCAGAGATCTCATTCCATGGTTGTCTGGGCATGTGGCTTTGGGGCCATAAGCAGCATAGTACCATATATCATGGCAGAGAAGCATGACAAAGGAGGCTGCTCACCTCATAGTGGCTGGGAAAAAGAAAGACATGGATAGAATGGCATCCAGTAAGTGTCACAGTCTGGCAACTAAGCCATTAGCACATGAGCCTTTGGAATATATTCTAGATCCAAGTTATACCAGTGAGTGTGTGTGTGTGTGCCTTTGCACCATGCTCTTCTTCTGCTCTCAGGTACTCTCCCAGTCTTTCCCAAAGTTCACATTATTACTTCAGTGTTTCACCCTCAATTATACTTGAGTTTTCCCATAGCTCTGGCTACCAACTGAAGTTTTACTCATTATATATATGAATATGAATTTGTACATAAACATATGTATATATTTGCTTATTGTTTTTCTACTCTACTAGGACACATGCATGAAGGTGTGTGTTTTGTCTCAATGTTCACTGCTGTACTGCTGAGACCAGGCACATATGAAGTGCTCATTAAATCTGTGTTGAATGAATGAGTCATTGTGTATGAGTGTGTATATGTGGGAGGCAGAGTGAGAATGTGCCAGTGAAATCATGTGTGTTTCCATGTGTGTTTGCACTCGTGCAATATTCTCAGTGTCTGGACCCCCTTGGTGTTCTCAGTGGCCTGAAAGCAATAGTAGCAACTTTTTTGGCACCAGGAACCAGTTTGGGGAATGACAATCTTTCTTTGGGTGAGGGGTGATTCGCAGGGTCACACAACTTAGATCCCTTGCGTGCACAGTTCACAGTAAGATTTGAGCTCCTGTGAGACTAACCACTGATCTGACCGGGGACAGAGCTCATGTAATGTGAACCATGAGGAGCTACTTTGAACACAGGTGAGGCATGGATCCCTAGCCCACTGCTCACCTCCTGCTGTATGGCCTAGTTCCTAACAGGCCCAGGACTGGTCTGGCAGCTGGGGACCCCACCCCAAGGGACAGCTGTGCACTGTCTGCGCACCTCTCACTGATGATGCCATTGTGCCTTTTCTTCTCAGGGGGCAACGCACCTACTCCTGCCGAATCCATGATCAGTGCTGTTTGGATTAACAAGGAGAGAAGGGGCTCACTGTCCCTGGAAGAGGCAGCTGTGGAGGAAGGGAGGGTGCCAGAAGAAGCCTACAGAATCTGTCTTCCAGCTGCTGAGTCTCCGTGGCATACACACCTAGAGATGCACCGCTTAGTCCGAACTTTTCACCAGGAAATCACTCATCAAGTAGAGCCAAAGGGCCAGCTTGTGGGGTCTGACCAAAGGCTTCCTCTAGAAGAAGACCAACACTTGTTTGAAAATAATCAAAAGACTCAGCAAGGAACCCAACTCCCAGAGGCAGCCCAGCCTCAGTGTCAGATGGGCAGTACCAAAACAAAGCCAGAGGGATCCAGCCTGAAGACCAGCACTGAATGTCCATCTTCCGTAAAGAACCCACACAGGCCGGCCAAACCAGCTCACTATCCATTTCCACGAAGGAAAACTCCCAGGATCTCCCAAGCTGCCCGGAACCTGGGCTTATATGGTCCAGTCTGAAGATTTCTTTTCAGCCAGATGTCTCAGCCTTAAGCCATTTAGGAACTCACTGAACTAAAGGGACAACCACAATTAGAGCCTTGAGCTGTGAGCAAGAACTGGACTCCCCCAATGGTAAGATTTACTGGAAAGGAACTTCACAGTGGAAATATAATGTTGACCTTCGAAGATCAAGAGATTTCCCAGGTCAGACTGTTCACCATTTAGGATGAAACAGTGCTATCTAAATAATGCAGCAACATTCTGCTTACACAAGAAGATGCTGCTATGGAGCCCAGAATGTCCATTCCTTGAGGAGGAGAGTCCTGCAGGACACCTGCTTCATCCTTGAATGTGGAGAAGTTTGCAACACAAAGCAGGAGCTTTAGCCAATACAATGCCTTAGTAATGCCCAGAGGTCAGTGAACATTAGCAAACTCACAGTCAGTAGTTTCTGATTCTTCAGATATTCTGGAGAAGATGAGCTCTGAGAATTCAGACAACCTTTTCTGGTTTCCATGGCTGGGGGCCATCTCACTTGTATGTCACTACATTCATTAGGAGTGGAAGTTACAAAGACATTCATGTAGAGGTCACTACATTCATTCATTTCATTTTGAGCCTTTCAAAGTATGGTAAAGCAAGTCAGGAGCATTTCAAGAGTCCTTAGAAAAGGCTGGTCATCTGTCCACGGTCACTAAGACTGCACATTCCCACCTCATCACAAATTTATTTCCTTCCTTCCACTTTCTCCTTCTTCTCTCTACAACTGAGTGTCACATTAAAAACTGCCAATTATTGGAGGTATATAGTGATGGGAGGCTGAGTGTAAATACACACACACACACACACACACACACACAAATACTCCTGTTTGGAAAATATGTGTTCCCCACACGCTGCCCCTTTTTCAGCCTAACTTGGATCACTTCTGTCCTTCCTGGGATAAATAAATGCTTTGAAAGCTAAGAACAAAATGAAGCAGGTGTTGCTTGGGTGATGAGAGAAAAGCATGTCTTTCCTGGTTAATGTTTAACTCTGTTAATGACCTTGAAATACCCTAATTTCCCTCATATTGGATTCTCTCTCTATACACCTGCTCCTGGACCATCCTGAAATTCCCTCCAATTTGGGAATTCATTGAAATTCCTTTCACGAAAATTACTAAGATGTAGTAGTTATTTTTTTATATTCTAATGAAAATCAAGGAAACTCTCTGAAAAACTTCATCCCTTGCTTTTGTTTTAAAAAGGATTCCCACCAGTGACCTCTCTTGTACAATGTTTTCAGTTGTGCTCTTTTCATTGTTCCAAAGGCTCTTGCAGGTTTTGAGCATGTGAAGCCACCTCTGTCTGGCATCTTGGGTGAGGGGGAGTGGATGAAATGCAGAGTCAGTTTGTCTGGGTTCAATCCAGCTGCTCTTGATGTGTGATTTGGGCTACCTTACTTAACCCTCAGTTTAGGTTTCATTATCTGTAAGATGAGGAAGATAATGCTCACTTTTGAAAGGATTGAAAATAATGTATGTAGGTAAATGTTCCTGACATTCTCAGTAAGAGGCAGCAATCATTATTGTTTAAAGTTCATTACACCTTCCTGTCAGTCATCAACCTCCTCCAAGCTTCTGCTCCAAAGACTGACAATCACCAGCCATGGTCACCAGCCATGTTCTCCTATCTAAATTCAATGGATTCTTCTAAGTCTTTCTTTTCTTTTATCTTTTCAGCATTCATGACAAGCACCATTGGCTTTTGCAGCCTTCCTCTCCCACATATCCTACAGTTTTGGGATCTCCTCTCCAAGTCTATGAATTAATTTAAATCAGAGAGAATGTCTGATTTTTCTCATTGCCCCAGCATGTAAAATAGATCTTGGCCCATACAGTGAGTGCTCCATAAACGTTGGTTAAGTAAGTTAGAAATTAGGGCTACATCTCTTTTACTCCCTCCCACCTGACAGCCCAACTCTTTCTCCTCTCCCAATTTATAGTCTTTCAGACTTTGACTTTTTATTTTTCCTTTAATGTGTTCTCTGTAGGAGTGAAAGTGAACAATGAGTAGAAGTAAGATCATTCCAGGCAGAGGGAACAGGATGTTTAATGACTCTAAGGACAGAAGATCCTGCTGTGGTTCAGGAGCTGTGGTTCAGGAACCACACACAATGTGGCTCAAATCCTATAACCAAGGGAGAGAGTAGATGCTAGAGAGTACATCTGTCAGTAGAGGCTACGTTTGCTATGATAATAAGAAACCTCCAAATCTCACCCCAGAATCTTGTTTTTCACTCATGAAAGGTCCACTATGCATTTGAGCAAATTTCCGGGGCAGCTGTCCTCTAGGTACAGCAATTAGACTTCCTAATCTCATCCCCAGTCTATGGCACCACCATATCATCAGTGGTTTCCCTAATGAGAGCAGCAGGAGAAGAAAGTGCAGTGACAGTAATGTACTGACTCTCAAGTCACTTTTGTTCACACCTGGTCACATTTTCACTTGAGGAATATGAGGAGGTGCAGTCATCCCATGGCCCCAGAAGGAAAGAGAACATGAGGCACTGCTGAACAACACAACTGGCTGATGCAGAATAAGGCAGCCAGGACCCAGAGGACGGGGAAGACACAGAATAATGCTACATTTCATTCTGAATACAGTAAGTAGCTGATGAGTTTAGTGGAAGTAGGAGGCAGGAATGAGGAGGCAGTGAAAGACACTTGAGAAAAAGTGACCTGGGAGAAAGGAGAGCCAGGGGGTGTGAACCCACAGAACTCAAGAGACAAGAGTTAGTGGAAGACATTGTACTGTTGACTCCCCTAACTGGAAACCTTCCAAGGATCGCCCCAGTTTCTAGAGTCCTCGTTGTTCAGCTTGACTTCTTGAGCTTCGTTGAGTTTAATTTCTGGTTTAAGAGGCCAGATCCCAAGAAGCAATGCTGACTGTAAGGTGTAAGAAAACTCTCTAAGGGCAGGCAAAGTCAATACTCACAAGGACAGGTCAGTTGACTGACTGCCACTGAGGCTGGCCTAGGGGTGCCTCTGCCTTCCCCTGGGGACTGGGCCATCCAGGTGCCTGGAGTGGGCTGAGGACAGTGTTCCCTGTCTTAGAGCTTGAAAGGAGAGGAGAGGGGAAGGGCTGGTCATCCTGTCATGGGAAATATGAAATATGAAATATCACAACTCTCAACCTGTTAACTGTATGATATGCCAAGTCTTTGTTCTCTAGAAATTGAAGAATGAGTCCTAGGAATGACAGAAGTTAAAAGTAGGAAGACATTTATTGATAGGAAAGCTCCTGAGGTGCAGGAGGAGTCCTGAGTGGGTAGCCAAGGACCTCACTTTATAGAGAAGTTTTATAGGGCGAAACCCACATGGGTACAATGTGGGCCACAGCCATGAACATCCAATGAGGTTACAAGTATAGTCACAGGTGATGGTGGTCCAATTGGGAAGCAAGTCACGTAGCAAGCGTGGATGGAAAGAAGAAGGATTCTCCTAGGAGATGCTGGGTCCAGAGGTCTCTGGTCACCCCCAAGGTGGTCGATGCCTATCTATACTTCACTAAGCCCAGTTCTTTGAAGAAGTATGGGGTCTGGTCACCTTGTCTCCATCTTGAGGCCTGGTTTTCAGCCAACATGCAGCTGTGGTGTGTTTCACCTTTTTCCTGGCCCTCTCAAGGACTTAGCCCTTTGACTGCCTATAATATTTCTACCTAGCTCATCTATCTATAATAATCCTTTCCCTGTTCTCCCCACAAGACTGCTCTGCCCAGAGCATTAGACCAGAACAATGTGCGCACACACACACACACACACACACACACACACACACTGACCCTCCTACCAGCTCCTGGGCTGTCAAACTTGCTCATACAAAGCAAAGGGCTCAGAAGATTACTGTGTGGAAGCTACTCCTCCCCCAGGTGATTTTCTTTCCCGGTCCGGTCAGAACAGGGACAAACCTCTTTGCACACTGTCTGCGCCAAGAGTAGAAGGCTTTTCTAAGGTAGAGAACAACCAGCTTTCCCTGTGAATCCTAGCCCGGGCAGGTTTCCTTTACAAGGGGGCCCCAGGCCTTCTGGTTCCCAGAGAGGACCCCCCTCCCCTGTGGCTGCTACACCCATTCAGCTAGGCAGGGGCATGCCAGCAGCTCCTGCTCTCCACTGCACTGGCCAGGGTAGATTCTTCGCTGAGTCACCTCCCAGAGCCACAGATTTCCCAGCTGTAACCGGAGGCCATGGCAGGTGGCAGGTGGGATGGGGAGGAGAAAGGGAGGGAGGGGAGTTTCCACCAAGCTTGGAACAGAAAAAGTCTTTTCCAACAACTGCTACCTACCTGGCTCTGTCCAACCTCTCCTTCTTTTGTAATCAGTTAACACCAGTAAGAGTCAGAAGGGGGAAGAGAAAAACCCTCTTAGGCCATGAAAGCGAGGACTGCTTAAAGAAAGGTCTTGGGTCAATGGTTTTCCTTAATCCTTGGGGTGGCTGCTACCACAGTACAGGCTCCTTAGGGCCTATGTATTAGACTTACTGTAAGAAACTGCTCCTTTGGGGCCAGGGATTTAGCTCAGTGGTTCCGTTGCTTGCCTTGCAAGCACAAGGACCCAAGTTCAAAAAAAAAAAGAAACTGCTCCTTTGATAGCCAGGGCTGTTTTTTATGTAAATGTGCCTTCCAAAGGGACAGACTTTTAAAGGTACAGTGTTGTGATTTATATATTTTCCTTTGGCAATTACTTTTTTAAAAAAATTTTTAGGGGGTGATCAAGCCAAGTATGTCTGTAGAAAAAGACTAGGTGATGCTTTATTTGGAATCTGGGGTTTAAAGGAGTCTTGGCTATTAAGTATGCATTTCAAGGAAGTGAGGAAAGCCAAGTTCGGAATGGAGCTTTCCCAGACTGAAAAACAGCAGGGAGAGGAGACATCCCTGCCCGTCCTGCCGCCCCTGCCCGTCCTGCCGCCCCTGCCCGCCCTTGCTTGTTCTGTCCCTCTACCTAAGGCATCCCTTAGGTGTGACCCATTCAGTGCCAGAACCAGAGAGCTGATGGTACTGGAGAAAGTGGGACCAGAACTGGACTGCTGCTCTTATTGGTACTTGTGCCCCTGTTTCCTCCCATCCTTTGGCTCATATGAACTCTAGGCTTTTCTTTTCTTAGCCCTCTGTTAGAATATCTCTGAGTATAGGACTCAGTTGCCAGCTTGGTGGTATGCTCCAGAGAAAAATCATGACAAGAGAAAAGTGGTTCCCTGGAAACCAGGGTCTGTGGGTCTCTGAAAACTGTTTTCTGTTTTACTAACATAAGCCTCTGTGTTGTGATGACCTCATGGTAAAACCAGCACCCTGTTCAAACACATTCCTGGGGCATGGGGCAGAAGGGATGGAGATATTCCCTAGTTCCCAGCCCTATCCAAACTGGGAATGAAACTTTCTTAGGGTAAGTCTCTCTGGTTTTAGTAAAACATGCTGACAGAGAGAGAGAGAGAGAGAGAGAGAGAGAGAGAGAGAGTTTGAGTTAAGAGTCTTTAGCAGTGAAAGAGACTCCTCTTCATCATGCTGTGGTGAGTTAATAGAGCAATTCGCCCAAGAGCCATCGTTCCTCTCAATCTCAAAAGACTGAGAACATCAAGAGCTAAAATTGCTCCCTCACTAGCAGAGGATCAAACTGGAAAGGAAACGAGGAGACACAGCAGGCTCAACACTCCCTTCCAGTAGTGTGGAAGAGGGATCAGGCCACACCGCCTCAGTGAAACCTGTCCTTCCAGAATGGAGAGTAGTAGCCTTGCTAGTTGCCTTTAAATGGCCGGCGAAACCCTGCGATTTTGTATGAAGCACGTTGTTCCCCAAATTTGCTCTACCACCAGGGAAATGACAGAGAGACATAGGCTGCCCATTATGGAAAAACAGAAAGTGTAAATCTCTTTTTTCTAAAAGGAAATGTGGTTTGCCAAGAACATATTGCAAAATGAAAAGAAAATAAAACTCCCATTTG